GATGTAACTGTGCAGATTTCTATCATCCAATTACTTGCAAGCAAAAAAAGAAAACACTTTTCACCACATTTACTAAGCTAAGTGACAATTAATTTTGTGAAATGAACATGCTTTCTTTTCTTTTCTTTTTTTTCAGGGTTAGTCCACCCTGCTAACTCCAACTATAATGCAACATACAATTTATTGTGAACAAAAAACACTGTAGGTGTCTTCAACATAAATAACTAGCAAACATGAACAACCTATTAAAACAATAGGACAAATTCTACAAATCAAGACACAGAAGTTTTCCATTACTTTAAGGACATTCTTTCAAGGACAGCAAGGTGTACATTTTGGACAGAAAGAACAACTGGTTCTCAAGAGATGTGAAAGAGGCCATCTAAAACTGGAACAACCCTCCCTTAACAGGGGTGGGGGCCTTCATCACTGTGTTGTTGATTTACTAAAACTGCAGAGTGCAAAATTGGGTGCAGCTGTGTATGGTAGCCAATCAGCTTCTAACTTCAAGTTGTTCAATTAAGCTTTGACAAAAAAAACTGGAAGCTGATTGGTTTCTATGTAGATCTGTAGAGCTGCACCAGCTGTTGTACTATCCAGTTTTAGTAAATCTAACTCTGTGTTTTCCACATATACTTTAAATGCCATTTTAACATCATTGCCCCAGTGCAGTCATGTTTTTGCGGGATAAATAATTATGCAGACTTCCTGACACCAAAGATAGGATTATGTAACTACAACAAGGTGGTTGCACAACTTTCACATCTCCCATCTTGTTTTTAGTCAATCAACATCTGCCTTGACACATTCAATAATTACTGGATGAAAGTGTCTGTGCTACATGTGTAAACATAAATGTTGGGGTATGTTCCTCACACCCATTAGAGCTGAGGAAGTGCTTTGGATAAACTTCAAAATGTCTTCAATTTTACAGAACAGATCCAGTTGAATGCAATTAACTCCTTTGTTCCAAGAGTACACAAATATGCAGCCTTTCAAAGGGTGGGCTTTGATGCTGAAAGGCTGCATATTTGCATAACCAAATGTAAATAAACCTGTGCAGAGAGCATGTGCCCTGCACACTCTTGGCACAGTTACCAGCGCCTAACGGAAAGCTCCCAATCGCTACTTGTGCTCCAGAGCTTTCAGATCATGTGATCGCTGTGACAGCCAATCACATGGTCACATGATCATAAACCCCGCCTGGACTTCCAGCATCAGAAATCTCTTAAAGGCCCAGAAGGCTCCGTACTAAGGGGTTACCTTCTATTAGCTATGTCATGACCTGGATCAATGAAAACCTTCACAGGCATATGCAACAGAGAAAAAAGTCAGGTCACCAAGTTGGCTCTGCTATGTGTAAGTCTCAAGACTGAATGTACAAAAATACAAATCCTTTCACAAGTAAAACATATATCATATATACATATATATTCCAGCTGTGTATTTGATTGTTTGCCTGGAGTTCAGCATTAAACCTTCTACAAAATTTTGTATTTAGGTAGAGCTACAATCTTGGCTTTATAAGACCCACTCAAGCTACACTTCTTAAATGGAAAATGATATACTTAACTTCAAAGATAGACCTCAGACTATCCCAGTAGCAAAATTGTGAGTATCATATTATTATCTGAGATCTTTACTTTGAAACAAATTACAGGGGAACATTTATACATATTTACTGTATATAAAACTATGATGTACCTGTGATTAAATTATTGTAAATAATTCTATTAGAAGGGATTTAAAAGTGTGTCTATGTGAACAATCGGTTAAGATATGTGCGTTGGGGCAGCCATATCTATTCATTCATATTGTATGCTGGCTCTGCTTCCTGTCTAGCAGGACTACTTATTGAATGTCCTTTTCCCCTGTTATTTCAGACAAAACAGACTCTGCATAAGACTGCATGAACTTACTGCAATAATCATTACAGTAGAAGTGTGAGATTGAAAAAGATGGCTGCAGCATTGATCTGATGCTGCAGCTGTCCCCCACCACCTCTATGAACTGAACAATCACATGACCATTTATTGCTCAGTTCTTGAGCTTTACTGAGCAGAGAGGGGTGATTATCAGTCTCCGGATCCTTGCTCTTCCCCTCCAGAGCTTACTAAAGCGTCAGGCTGTAGAGTGGCTGGCTCAGGCTCTCAGTGTTGATCTGAGAGCCTGGGCCAGCTTCTGGTCAGGCATCTGGGTTAATCCTAACATTATTTTCAGGATCCCTGCAGAGCCTGGACCAGCTCTGTGATGTTAGCCAACAACAGACTTTACCCGTACTTCTCTTTTACAGTAAATCTGTGGGAATATCTGATGATATGAATTAAAGTCTATAGCCGTCAGCAGATAGAAAGTCTTGCAACAATATGATTCTCTAGTGCCTCCTTCCTTAAGCAGATTTTACATTGCGTATCCATAGACAGGTGATCATTCAGCAGCCAGGAATTGTAGAAGACAAGGACTGCATTTATTCCATTGTTCAGAAAATGAACGTTAGGTAGAATGCACCAGACAATGCTGGAGGGTAATATTGCTACGAACAGTATGGACTGCTTGCTTATGCTGTTAGCAATCAGCTGCTGAGCTTAGTGAGTTTTTAGGTCTGTTTAAAAAAATGTTCTAATCACATTCCTTTATATAAAGATGACCACTAACGGGAGAATACAAAATGTATATGAAGTACAATCATTAAAATATGGCAAAACGAGCATGCACAATTTGAAAGGCACAACAAAATTACTTTCAGGTAAAGTTACACTAACCATTCAAAGTATGTGCTTACTGAAAACACTTTGTAATTCTCATAATATACATGCAGATGCATGTTTATACATTTTTGCCCATGCCAAAAAAGAAAAACTATTTTAAAATGAAGATCTATTGATGTATCAGCTCAGTGCTTGGCTAGATGCTCAATATGGGAAAAAAAATCTAACATTTTTCAGTTCAAAAATTAAGTTTGGAATTTAGTATTTTATAAAATGTATCATTTTATTTCCTTGTGTATATAGAGTATGGGAAGGTTGCAGTTTTGTGGTCAATAAAAAATCTTCTTTTCCCATCCTGAATGCTCGATCATAGCCAATGACTATATTAAGACTTTATTGACTCAACTGTAATAAATAGGCTAGGCTTCGTGAACCTTTCCTCCAAATTTGTCAAATGGTTTTAATTTAAATCATTTCATTTCTAGTGCTGTGCATGGTAAAGTTACCTTTTAGGATATACATCAGAATTTTTCAGAATGTTTTTGCATAACATGTAATTATGCTTTATATGCAAAATAGCCATTAGAAACCATACCTAAAAGCAGAAGATGAATTTCAGATTGGGATCTGAAAACACAGTGGGCAGTAGTCAAACCCAGAAAGGCTGAATTGTTAAAAAAAAATGAAGGAAAGGAAATGTGTCTATTTTACCAGTGGTAACCAAATAACTGTTTTCATATCCTAATGTATGTCAGAATGACACATGACAACTGGAATAAGGGCTGGCTGTTAAGTACAATAGTCAAACTTCCATTTTCCGTTTCTTCATTTTTTTTTTGTTTTTTAGGGATTTTTTTAACTAATGACACCTATAGTGTAATATTCAACTTAAAAGAGTTCTCTTTGTCCAATAACAACATGGCACAAGTGTTTTATACAAGGTCAATGAATAACCTTCCAGACATTTGTCAATATGGAATTCCCTTTGTACAATAAACATAAAGACATGCAGATGTAGCAGACTACCATGCACTGATTTAAGTGCTACACATCAACATTTCCGGTGCAGATAATCAAGATAAACATTTGTATCCTTAATGAGAAGAAACATTTTAAGAGATCAGCTGTGATACCATTGTAAATTATTTTACTCAAATAAAATTACAGAATTTTGCTACATCTGTACTGATATTTAAATATACTGTAGATCTATAGCTATGTACTCAACTGATATATCTACAAATGTAGCAGTCGTTCGGTGTACTATACATGTATGTATATACATAAGGTAGCAGTGTGGAATATCTGTAACATTTTAGGCTGCAATACGCTACTTTGGAAATGTAGAAAATAAAAATGGTGTAGCATTGACTGGATAAATCTTTTAACAAATAATAACTAACATGAATTACTAGAGCTTTGGGCTGAAAAAAAAGTAAAACTTATTAAAACTTGTGACCATGCCACAAATCTATTGTCTGTGAATAAAATAGTGATGTCTTACATGAACAGAATGTTATAAATGAAAACTCTTGGATCTAGTTTAGTCTACGCTATCTGCATTTATACACAAATATTGTGAAAATCATTAATTGATTTTTTTGAAATCCTATAAGTAAAAGTAATTTTTGTCAGCCCCTTGTGACTGTGCAAATGCATTCTACATAAAACAGTTTCTTTGTGTTAAACTACATGCATACAGTATTGCTTATTTTGCTAGTAAAAACAATAGCTGACAAGTAACATAAGAGGTGTTTTAGTGTAGCATACTAATGTCCTAATGTGTAAAACACATAAAATAATAGCTGCCAATATTTAATCAGATTGTATTTTCAGTGTTGGCCTATGTCATGGCTTAGTTTGTCCTTATTTTGTAAGGTTATTGACAAAAGAGCTGCATTACCTTACAGGTATATTCTGTTTGCTTTACAGATAATTCAGAGCTCCCACAACAAAGAAACCAAATTCACATGACTTTCAAACCACTTCAGAAGGGCAGCTTGTTTGGGAGTCAAGTGCATTTCGATATTTGTATTTTTTTATGATTGCTCATTAGCCTAGGGCCATCATGCCTTTAGGTAGACTGTTTGAAAATATTTTAAATAAATCCAGTAACAAAAGCAAATTATCCCAGGTAGACTGGGATGAGCGGAAGCCCTAGGAATATTATGTACTGAGAAAGTTAACATTGCTTTTTATAAGCATTGTTCATTATTCTTGGATTCTGTTGGCAGCTATACATTTTTTCCTTTTTTTTCATTTTGAGCAAGACATGGTACATACAGTAAACATTTAAACATCTGATTCAATACTAGGCATTTTTTTAAATACACGTCTATTGCTGCAGGAATTTACAACCCTTGGAGCTGGGCACATACTATTCTTGCTTGAAGCATAAGGCATGACATACTCTGAAACACACATGTCATTGGGTACCCGTCCATCCCTTGAGGAATATGAAGTGGTAGATTTAATAGACGACCTTAAATAATTATCACTTCTTGCTTTCAATGATGTAGATTGTTTATAAATATCAGAGGAGCTCTGTCCATGACTCAGGTTTTGGTTCTCCTGATAGGAATGCAGGAAAGGGTTTTCAGAAGAAATATCTGTGTAAAGGGATCTGCTTCGCTTAGTTTCCTTTAAAGAGTGTGTATAAAGTGGAATCTTATTTCCCAATAGTTTTTCTGAGGGAACAATAAGGAGGTTAGCAAAAGGGCTTTCTTGCAAATAGCGTTCTTTGTCTTTCAAGCTTATACTACGGGATGGTCTTCCAATGTCTATCTCCCTGGGTTTATTTATGTTATCACAAGAATGCTGCCTATTAATTCTTAACTTGTTCTTCTTCTGAAACTGTAGAGCATTGTTCTCAACCCAGTTGTGCTCATAAACATCTTCAGAATGAACAGAATTAGTGGTCTCATGTAGCATTCGGTCTTCATCAATGTCATAAAGGTTTCCTATATGCAGACAGTCATCACATTTGTAAGGGGACCTGGCTGAGTAGTGACCAGTATAACTGGGTACATTAGACAGACAACTTCGACAGTGGGTCAAGTTTTGCCTATGTCTGTCATTGACTTCTGCTATTGATGCATTCTTTTCTTTTAAACTATAATGTTTATTAAATAATTTGTACTGAATATCATTATTTGGAAGACTGTCCTCATTGTGCAAAGGAGTCCTATTAATATGAAGAGAAGATTCTGACTTTTTGTAATTGTCATTGTGATCTTGATACACCTCAGGGTAATCTCCTTCCTCTTGAGCAGGGGCATTGTCACCATACTGAGGCTGCTCCACTAAAAAATTAGGCTCCTTGTCCCCATTGATGGTGTAGATTTTATCACGAGTAGAACCTTGTTTACTTTTTAAATAAGATAACTCAACTTCACTACAGTCTCTAGGATACTTTGATATGGATCTTTTCTTTAGGTTTTCCTTACTCTTGTGAGATTTGCCATTGCTTTCAGTGTCTACCTGGCAGGTTGCTCTGCTTGATGTGTCAGATGCATCAGAAAAATGTCCATCCTCTGGAAGAAAATGCTTGTTTTTGCTGGATGGTTTGGGATCTTCATTTCCATTTTCATTAACTGAACCCTGATTCTGCCTTAAAGTCTCCACTGACTTTTTCCAAAGCTGCCTTGGTCTTGAATTTGCTTTGGGGTCTGCACTAACAGCAACCTCAACTGTGTTGGGGTTGGATTCATTTAATGTTAAGGGGTGTTGACCTTGAAACACATAATTGTTAAGATTGTCCTTATGGCGGTTGCTAGGTAGAATTGAGAGATCATGTGCATTTTCAATATAGATCTCTTTTTGCTGGAAAGGTCTGTTATCTGAATAGATTAGATTTCCCTTATCTAGCACCATGTCCATCAACAGAGACCCTCTTGGAATATAATTAGTTGTTCTTTTGGGAGAATTACATTGGGATGAGTTTAGATTGCTTAAATTAGTCATGTTTTTTGATGATCTCAACAATTTTAACATGTTTGTTTGAGAAGCAGTAAAACTGAAATCTGGAGATTTCCTTTTCTCTTCTATATGCACTCCATGGATACAGCTGTAAATACCCTAGAGAAAAAATACAAACAGAATACATTGTTATGTTCTCAAATCTTATCAAGAAGCTCTTCATCATCAGATGTAGCCGTATATACATATTAATATACTTATGAATTTTTACTAATTTAATTTTGATGATTAAAAAATATGTTTAATTTGCCTACAGATTAGTTTAAAAATTTCTGAGGAGCTTGTTTAGTACTTAACTCTAAAAAAAGGTAAAGAAGTGGTGAGGTAAACCTTTGGCCACCTCCTGCTTTAGCCAGTTCCCAACTGCGCTATAGCCAAAAGACAGCTACAGAGTGGTCAGCTAGTTCTGGGAAGGTGTCCTGGGGCACGCACTGTGCACAATCTGCGATCGCTGTGTCCTTCGGACACAGCTGATCACATGTCCAGGTAAATCAGAGCCAATCAGAGCTGCCTTTTATCATGTGATCAGCTGTGTCCAATCACAGCTGATGTGATATAAATAGGAAATGCCGGTTAGCAGCATTTTTCAGGGGGACATCTATACTGATCATCAGGCCACTGATCATCAGTGCCCTGATGATCAGTTTAGCCCCTTCAGTGCAGCCAATAGTGCCCATCAGTGCCCTAAGAGCTGGCTATCAGTGCCAATCTGTGCTGGATATCAGTGCCCATCTATGCTGGCTATCAATACTGTCCATCATTACCTATCAGTGCTGGCTATCAGTACCCAACAGTGCTTCTTATAAGTGCCTCCTCACTGCTGGCTATCAGTGTCCATCAGTGCTGCATATCGGTGCAGCCTTATTAGTGCCTCCTCACCAGTGCAGCCTATCAGTGCCCATCAGTGCAGCCTCATCAGCGCACATCAGTGAAGGAGAAAAATCACTTATTTACAAAACTTTATAACAGAATCTAAGAAAAACTTTTTTTGTTTAGCAAAAAATAAATTAAATGAATAAATATCGCCAAAGGAAAGCTCTATTTGTCTAAAAAAAATGCAAAAAATTTAGTTTGGGCACAGTGTTGCATGACAGCGCATTTGTCATTCAAAGTGCAATAGTGCTGAAAGCTGAAAATTGTCCTGGGCAGGAAGAGGGTAGAAGTGTCTGGTAGGCAAGTGGTTAAAGAATATTGGGTTCTATTTATTAAGGCGACTTTAATAAAAAACATGTGTGCAATGATCCAAAGCAATCCACAGCAGTCATATTTAACAGTGGAAAAGGACATGTGAATAATGAAAGTATGAATCTGATTAGTTGCTGTAAGGCAATACAGACATTCTAATAATAAAAGCAGAAGAAAAGGCTGAAATAACCAAGGTTTAAAATGTTGCCTCCCTCCTGCTCATATACAGTACATGCTACATACAGTTTATAGGAAATTACTTTGCAATTATCTTTTTTTTAACTCTCCTTTAGAAAAGACTAATGATCGCATAAGCTCTGGCTTCCATGTATCAATGAACTGCTCAACAATGGGGCTGCATTGTATGTGACATCACCCATTTAAAGTGTGTAAAGAGTGGTTATTTGAGTTACTGTTGCCTTTCTATCTTCTCAAACCAGTCAGCCCATTCTCCTTTGACATCAACAATGCATTTTTGTCCACACAACTGACTCTCACTGGATATTTTCTCTTTATCTGACCATTTTCTGTAAACCCTAGAGATGGTTGTGCCTAAAAATCCCAGTAGATCAGCAGTTTTTGAAATATTCAGACCAGCCCATCTGGCACCAACAACCATGCCACATTCAAAGTCACTTAAATCCTCTTTCTTCCCCATTCTTATGCTCAGTTTGAACTTTAGCAAGTTATCTTCACCACGCCAAGATTCCTAAATGCATTGCATTGCTGCCATGTAATTTGGTTAATTAGCAATTTGTGTTACCAAGCAATTGAACATGTGTACCTAATAAAGTGGCCTGTGAGTGTATATGAATCGTGCTTTGAAGGATGCCTTGACATGGCAGTATGCTTTCATATGTATTTGAAAGTACATGCAAAGAGAAAAAAAAACTCTTTTTTTTATGAAAAGGAGTTAAGCAGAGAGTAAGATTAGCAACCTATAGGGTAAGTAATATGCTGCTGATGTTTGGATATTATTATTATATATTCATTAATCATAAAGAGAAAATATTCTTTATCAGACCCAAATCTTCTTGGTACTGGTGTATTTGGTTTAGTCAGTTTAAGATAGAATGCTAACTTAACAGTTTCAATGGAAAATTATACAGTATGCTGGATTTCTCCCTAATGAATTTCTTTGTCTGATTTTTCTTTTTTCTGTGTAAAGAACTACAGTGAATTAGATTGTAAAATGTCCTGTAATTTTATATGTTTAGCTTTTTGTAGCCCCAGAGATATATTACAAATACATGACACAAAATGTGGAACACAATCCATTAAGTGAATGTTCATGCATCAAACCACTGGGTATTGTAAAAAAAACAGGATATAGAATATACGTTGGAAATACAAAACTAGTAAATTATATAAGGCATTTAGAACCACCATACTAGTTTAGACTTGTATTAAATTCATCTGTGATTTCAGGATTCCCTGCAATGCCGCTAGCCAAATAAGGTCATGTGGCCATGGAGACCCTGACTCTTTGTTTACCTTTAGTGGTGAGAACTGGGAGCTGTCATTCTTTGTGAGTGAGCGACGGGATCGGGTGTGCTGATGGGTCAGAGGGTTTTTAATTTTAGTCAGCCAGCTGGTGTTGTTCATAATGGTTAACAAGGATCTCTATCACTAGTCAATTTGATTGATGAAGGATTTAGTTAATAGAACTCTTTTTAATTTTCATATAAAGGATTTGTCAAACAGGATTTGTCAATCTTACTCATTTACATAGTGGTGCAGTATTTGGGGGCCCCCAAGTGATGTCCAGATTCCAATAAGCCCCCACGACAGATTCCCACAACCAACTGGAAAGACCATAAAGGGACAAAGTGCTTTGCCAAGGATTTCCTCCCAGATAATGTACCACACCATGTTGAGGGCATGTGCCTTGGTACAGTTTGGGGAGGGGGGTATGGGTTTGTGTGGAGGTTCCCTCTTGAAATCCATATCAGACCATATTCAAGGATCCCCTGCAGCTTTGTTTGCAAGCAGGAGTAAGCAGCCAGGTGCTGTCATTTACCAGAAATAAAATGCATTTTTTTGTATACATTGTACAGATATTTGACTTCACAAACAGGTTAAGGACATACTCCAGGTACATTATTTAAAGGAATTATTCATTTTAATCTTGCCCTTATTAAAACTGCCGTTTCAAACCAAATGGAATTTTAAACTTTTTTGCCTTAGTATATGTTCCCCAGGGAAGTGCCCATGACATTTGTTTGACAATCATTTGCCTATTAGCTTTGAAAATGTTCATTACATTATATTACATGTGGCTGTCTCCAAAGGGGATTGGATTCTGCACCTGAACTTCAGTAATGTTCAGCCAACCCCTTCTGAACCAAACTCATGTGTGTTTGGGTTATTCCTTCTCAGCACCTGTTAAACACTATTTATCTGTTACATTTATGGGTTCTAAATGCGTATGTTTCTTGTTTTCCCCCCAGTTTACCATACCTTATTATTTTTATAAACTTGCAAAACTTTCACAGTGTGGCTTAACTGAGCATAGCATGGTAATTTTACATCTCAAGCTGCAAGCAGGTCACAGGGAAATATACAAAAAGGGCTGAGCATCAGCTGTGTATTTTCCCTAAAAGGTATAGCTCATCGCATCCCTGTCTCATCCTCTACAAATGTCACAGGTTAGTACCAAAAAGTGCCCTAATTCCTAAATCAGCTGCAAGTGTTACTTGGAAATATCTTTAATCACTTTAATTACTCCATTCCATCCTCAATTCAGAAGGTTTTTTTGCAGATACCATATCCAACCCTGCCCCCCCTCACCACCAGCACATACACATACACATTTTCCATTACAAGTAGCTCTGTATGTTTCACTCTTTGGGCTTCTCATTCTGACCAAGGAAAACCAGCCAGGGGCTTATTTGAAGACAACTATAAACTTCTGTAAATTGGCAATGATTTTGTTTGCATGATTTCAGGCTTTGCTCGTGTTCCCCTAAATAAGTGCATTCAACTATATGCCTGTTCTTAGATGTTAGATAATAGAAATCTGTGTCATGTATTTGTCTCAAGTTACATTCTGTATAGTAATAATTCTGTAGATTTGGTACCCTACTATAAATTATTTTGTTAAATATGTTAATGCTGTATAGAAAGTATTAATAAGCATGCACTTCTACTATTAGGTAAGTTGTACAGTAAAGGGTCTAACTACATGTATGTTGTATAATAAAGGGACGGTCAAACTAGACTGAAGAAATATTTCAGTTTTTGGTTGATGCTGAAGAGTTAAACAACCTGAGTTTCTTGTATCTCTGGAAAATTATTTTGGTGAGAACTTTGTTTCTTGAGTCCCTTGGTTTGTATTTCTGTTGTGGCCATTTTGAGAGGTCCCTGATTTTTCATTCAGGGGATGCATATGGGACAGGTAAAGGTGGGTGGGAACACCCAAAACCCCAGAGAAGATAGGGAATGTGTCAGGAACCATGGCAGAGAGTGCTTACAGTTGCAATTCCCAAAACCTATATGAAGACATGGGCTGACTTAGTCCAGTAGGCCTCACCTATATATAAAATATGACTTTTTGAGTAAAACAGCCTTTTAAAGGAGAGTTTCCCGCTTAAATAAAAGAAAATGAAAATGGTTTCCCCATTTTCCTCTCAGAAATTCAAATGGTGACCTTCCCATGTGGAGCTATGGTTTATACCAATTGAACCATTGAAAAAATACTGCAGGAGACATAAAGTACTCCAGGGAAAAAGCAAAAAACTTTGTGTTGAGGTGGGAGCTAAACCATAAATGAAAAATTTAGCAAAAATATTATTATATGTGGCAGCTCAAACTGTAAAGTACAATTGTACAGTAGCTTGATTTTTTTTCTAGAGTCATACGTACCCTACTTATGGAAAACAGTAGTCCTGGTTTTCCTGTACAAACACCAGTAAAGCAGTATCTTAGTTTCCAGTAAAATAGATGCTCCCAGACAAAGGTTATCAGACTCAAACCCATGGCTGCTGCCAGCATGTAGAAAACACCTGCCATGTTATCAATATCTAGCTGACTGCTCATCACTTCATTCTTCTCATTATGACAGATACCAGTGAGCCACAAAGTCTCTAGTTCTTCCATCTCACCTAGAGAATAAAAAATATTTAGTAGAGTTATTACTGCATAGAATAGATCACCACACGGATTTGTCTAGGAGTTAACAAGGCATAATGAGGAAAACCAAAGAATGTGAATGTGTTTTTGCCTTTAACAGACAATGATGTTTGAATGTATTTTATAACAGTGAGAAGAATTTGCACTACACATAATATGACAATAACATTCTCAGCCTCACCCTGCACAGAGATTATCCAGCTCACAGGACACCAATCTAGATGCCAGAAGTCGGAGATTGATCATCCCTGGGATGATCTCTGCAGTTAACCCTTTACCCAAACAACCAGTAGCTGCCACCACAAGGTTTTAATCAGAATGTACACTGTTCACAGTAATGGTTATAGCAATGATGAACTTTAGGATTTAAGAAATGTCTGTTGCACCCTCTGCCATTCCAGACAGGGATGGAACAGAATTTTATGCATGGTATATTTCTTCAAGATGCAAGAATTTCTTGATTTTTAAATAGAGCAATTAGATACCCAGCTTAACAATTTTAAAATATCGTTTAAATGAAAGTAGAAGAAAAATGGTGCAATAAAAAAAATTATAGAAAAGATATTACAAAAAAAAGTGGACAGCAAAATAAATGGTATTAAAAATGAAAAGTACTTAACAAGTTCCAGTGCAGTGCCCAATTCATTCAGAGTAAGTCCATTTCTGACAGAGCTATTAAACCTAAAAAATTGCCATCAGGGATAACTCCAGGCCAGATTTCTAAATCAATCATATTTTCCTATGACTATTTTTTACAGCAAAACAATCAACATAGCATAAAATCATGATTTAATGAGTCTACATTATATATCTATATGATGTCTACATCAGAAATTATATGGATTGGTTGCAAATTATTCAGGAGATGGAATGTGTCTCATCTGCCTTTCTACCTCATATATATGGGAGTGTTTGGTATTGAATGGATTGTAATTCAGTTCTACATTGAGGAGGATGCTTGTAGCACTTCCTTATCATGATTTATGAATTATGTGTAAATGTTGGGTCTGGCATTTACACAAACTGTTTTATGACAGCTATTAATGCCCTGGCTTTTCAGACCTCTGCTAAGTACTATTTATGTTACTGACAGAAATGTTAGTGGTAATTTTACAACACAAGCTTGGATTAACAGATATTCTGCTAATAGGTTTAATTACCTCCAATTAGCCAGTTATGACATGTTAATTAACAGGCTGTAAAGACCAGGTCAAGATGTTTATGCACACCTGTGTCTATAGCTGAGCTGTTGGAATGTATGATGCCTGCTTGTGTAAGGGGCCGCCCCTAGCACTCCACTGAATAGGCGCCCCCAGCGCACGAAATCTAAGTCCCAGGGTGCTTGTTCACCAGGGCCCCTGATGGTGGGGATGGACTTGGAGCCCCCCCGAGACCAGGTCGTGGCTACTGGGTACGTCCGTCAGTGGTAGTGGTATGCGCCAAGGGCTCCCACGGGAAAGAGTCTGATATGAGGAGGTCAGAAGACCCCACTGCGAGGGATGGATGGATGGATGGATGAGCAAGGTCAGGCGGGCCGGGTCGGTAACAGAGAGGACGGTAAGGTACAAGGCAGCGGGCAGAGAATGGTCGGATCACACGCCAGGTCAGCAACAGCAGGTCAAATCCAATAGGGGGCATCCAGGACAGAGGTCAGGCAAAGCAAGGGTCAGGACAGGAGAAATTAGCAAGGTCAGGTACAATCCGGGTCAATAACTTACAGGGCACAGGTTCGCAGATTCACAAGATGCAGGAAAGACCAGAAGGCACTGAATGACAGCTCAGGGCCATTTAAATATCCCACTCTGCGCTGCCATTGGTGCCCAGCGGGCGGCCGCGGCTTCTACTGCGCATGCGCGAACTCGAACGCCGCGGCCTGCCCGGACCTAGTGCCCGTGTCCCTGCACAGGGCGGCGCACTTCGCCTGCGCCGGGACTATCGCGGCGGGGATCAAGGAGATCCCTGACAGCTTGTCTCAGGTGTGACTTTAGGCTAAGCCTTCAGTCTTAGGAGATGTCACTGACTTGTGAATTTTGGAAAAAACAAGAGTGACACTCTGTTCAGTATAAGGCTAAGTTCACACTAGCTTTGTCAGCAGGCATCAGACAGGCGTTTGGGAAGCGTTTTTAACGCTTCTCAAATGCCTATGAAAATTCTGCACATGGCAGCACACAGTGCTGTTCACACTGAAACGTTAGCATCGCGTCGCTGCAAAACTGATGCCTCATGTCGAGTCAGGAGGAGTTGAAGCCTCCCATTAAAGTCTATGGTGACGCTTCTCAAACGCCTGGCAAGCGTTTGCGGAGCGTTAATATCATTAAACTAAATTATAGGCGTTTGTGTTGTGGATTTAAAGCTTTGCAAATGCCTATCAAACGCCTCAAAAATGCACATAGGGCATTTGGGGAGCGTTAAAAATGCTTACCAAACGCTTTGTTAAACGCTATAGGGGTGTTTGGCAGGAGTTAGAAATAAAATCAAGTGTTAACGTAGCCCTACTCTTCATCTTTTTATTCTGTTTGGAGTTCATCAGACTTCATTATTGTCACATATAGCAATTCAAGGATAATGATTTAAAAAGGAAATCCATAATAATGATTCCACTCATCTACCTCCATATGTCACTACAGGATACAGTAGTGATTTGAATGTCAGTATGAGGAATTATTGAAACCAAGTTCATACCACCATGTATGTTAATGTTCATTACAGAAGATATTATGTGCACCTTTTTGGGTGCATTTTTTTTTTGCATTAATGTGCATTTATTTAAATGGACTATCTTATTGCAACACATGATAATGCATGCGTGCTAACACAGTGCAACTCTGTGAACTGGCCCTGAGTGCAACAGGGAACCAGAAGAGTAACACTCTCAGATGTATTGGTTTCTGAACAGGTTTCAGAAAAAGATTTCTCTTCAACAGAGCAGTGTTTCATGGTGTGGACAAAAAGAGAGAGATATTTTGCTTTCTTCTTTTGCAAGGGCAGTGTTTTGGTCAATTTAATTTTCCAGAAAGGGTTGCTTTATTATAAGTAGCTTAAATAAATTGTAAATATGTCTGCAACATTTTAAACTGCATATTCAACAGACGTATCAATGCATGGAAATATATTATTTCAATAAAAGATATGTGGCATTCGCTATTAGGCCTCATGCACACAGGGTGTTTTTGCAGCTACTTTTAGGGGTATCAGGTGGGGTGTTTTTTTACTGCTTCTAAACAGCCCTCCGTATTGTTCTATGTGTCCATGCACACATAGACTTTTAGAATCTTTTGGTAGCAGTAACATTTACCAGCAGACAAAAAAAAATCCAGGGTCAGTGCATCCAGACAAGCAGCATCTTGGCAGGAAAAATGCTTGACATGTGTAAACGCGTCTAAACGCACCTAAACGTGTGTTAACTCTAGGCGCGTTAAGCACTTGAGCGTTAATTCCTTTTAATAGCCAGAAAAAATTATTATACTGGCCAATGATACAATGATAATGAATTAACGCCCAAGAGCTTGACGCCTGTAAATGCACCCAAATGCTTGTAAAAGCATTAGACACTTTTACAAGTGCCAGGAGTTTTCTCTGCCAAGACACTACTGCTCCTGGACGTACTGGCCCTGGATTTTTTGTGCATGAGACCTTACTAGTAAAATTGGACCACAAGACTGTATATGTTTGTCTCATTTACCTACCTGCTGTATCTGTACTTGACTTGGTATCCATTTTTTTTTTTATTACAAGTATTTATATAGCACCAACAATTTACACAGCAGTTTATATATTGTGCATTAACATCAGGCTCTGAACTCAAAGAGCTTACAATCTAAGATTCCTAGCTCACATGCATAAATATATGCTAGATCCATTAAATGTATTATTAACTATAGGTTTGTGCATTTATGCATGTCATTAACTTTGTGGCAGCTATGTTTAGAAGAGGTTGTTTTCACTGGAATAAGAACCACTAATTCCTATTATTGATTAATTCATTATCTAATTCCTAGACTAGACCAATAATATAAATTTCAGCTATAACCTTCTGTAGTCTGTGCCCTTTATGAACAGCATGCTTGGTCATGATTGGGTTCTAGGATTTTGTGTTTTATTACTTTACATGCAGTCAAATTGCAGGCTATTCCCTTGGTGCTGAATTACACTTTTGTGTCCCAATACATGACAGCGTATTGCCGTGCATTGCATTACAAAAAAGGTGACATTCAATTTTAAACAAGCTGGAATATGTCAGCAGGCCACATAAAATGAATAGGCTACCTTAACACAATGCATGCTAATGCATGACATAATGCATGTAACAGACCACACGAATATAAATGGGTCCTTAAGAAGTGTACTATTTGTCAATTTGTTTCATCTGTCTGTAATCATAATAAAGAGAAATTTTCACATATCATTAATTTTAAAAAATGTTTCTATGCTAGGTAGGAGAATAGGTCATTCATCGCATGCATTTATATCAAATAATCCAAATGTCTCAGGTTTTACCTCAAATATGTGCCAGCTGACATTTAGAAAAAAATCAAATACTTTTGAGAAAAGAAATATCATCTGTTAAAAAAGACAATATGGAATTTACAAGACTCTAGAACAGGTTGGACGTGCTAAAGCGAATGTGTTGAGGTGCACTTTATGCATTGGTTGATGTGTGTTCACATCCATTTTTGTAACGTGTTGTATTGATGTGAATTTATTTACATGTCGCATTGATGTATCAGCTATATTGTTCACAGCAGGAGAGAAAATAAAGTATAATTATTTCCTTAGCATGTGTTGCAGCATGCTGCAGTGAGTTGTAATGTGTTGTAGAGTATTGTGCCTCTCTTAAAAGCAGCATGTTCTATTTTCACCCAGCACATACCAGTGTAATGCATTGGTGTGAACTGAGCCTATTGCAAAGAACTGATTTTGCATTTAGCCTGTCTTTAAAAATGCATCTCAATGCAGTCCATTGCATGTGGTG